CGCTTGGATGGATGTAATTTGACCGAAGAACCGAAATACCCCCCCCGTGGACATTCAAAATAGCTATTCACCCTCTTTTCTCTTTCCTCTTTCCTTTTTTTTCCACGATTCTTGCTCAATTTAAATTTTTCTCTTAACTTCCATTTTTTTTCTTTCTATTTTTTTTATTTCTAATTTCAAGTTTGACACTACTTTTTCTTTTTTTTTTTTTTTTCAATCTAATCCAGAAGAAGTATCCAGTGAAAATTTTTCAAGTATTTTTCGTCCTTCAGGATAACAATTCTTCCTCGATTCGAATTTTTCTTCTATCTCCGATTTCCCCCCTTTTTTTAATCTTTCGGATTTAATCGATTTTCATTTTCTTCTTTTATTTTTGTAATTTGTATTTTAACGAGAGAATCGAGTTTGAACTGTGAAAATTCAAAGTGTGAGTTTTTTTTCTCCCATCTCCCCTTATCCCTGATTTTTTCTTCTGCCTTTTAATTTCACGTTTTTTTACTCGATTATTTTATAATCAGGTTTATTCAATTTTTGCCTATTTTTTTTTTTTTTTTTTTTTTTTTTTTTTTTTTATAATTTGCACTTGCAACAGAAGAAGATACGATGCATCTTTTTCCAACCTCTTCCTCAATTCGAATTTTTCTTTTTAATTTTAAATTTAATCGATCCCTTTTCCCCTCTCTTCTTTCTCTATTTTTCCCTATTTTCGTAATTTGTAATTTAACCATGGACGATCAAAGTATTCCTCCCTCTCTCTTTTTAATCTCAGATTTAATCGATTCTTCACCTCCTCTTTTTCTACTTTTCTACCTTACCGATAGAAATCGGTATGTTGTGTTTGTTCGTAGATAGATATCGTAAGAATTATCGGCATCAAGTTGATTTTTAATTCTTACGCTCCAGCACTCCTTTCCCCCTTTCCCCCAAATCGATTTTGAAATCGCATTTCACCCCGGGGATTACGATTCCACGGAGGGGGGAATTTCGTTTAATGTAAATACGCGAACAAACATCGAAACGCGATGTAATAAACAGACTGTTGCAAATAGAATACTGAAACGGGTTTCAAGTTTGATTCCAATATGAAATTAAAGTAAAATCGCTTCGATTATAATACTTCCTATTCGCTTTTAACTAGGGGGGAAAAAAGAAGAAAAATTAAAAGGTATTGTAACTTTAGTATTAAATTTTAAAAACTATTTGTTTTAGAATTATTATCGTTGCGATTCAGATTAGAATTAGTTTCATTTCGAAGAGAATTAAATTATTCTTGTTTCTATGCGATAATGAAAGTAGAATGAATTAAGAAAATTTCCACGTAAAAGAGTAGATGGAGTTAGTTTCGTTTAATATTTCAAATAAAATGAAACAAAATCAAAAAATAGATGATATTCAAAAAATTATAAACTTGTTGAGTGAGTCCCAAAATTTTGTTTAAAGAAGCTAAATTATAAATTAAATTTCTTCAATCTGAATCTTGTGGTATGTATTTATTTTTAGGTCTAAAATCATCAAAATCTTGTTTCTGTAGCTACAAATAATATACTACTAAATTCACTTTTTTTTTTACTAACAAATTTTATTACTAACTAATGCTAAATACATACGTTTCATGTTAAACAAATTAAATTCTCAGATCAATCTTTCTACAAATGCAAATATAATGGAATATTTCCACGAGATGAAATTTAACAAATAAATTTCTCAAGAAGATGAGCACACTTACATACATTTACATATTACGATATAAAATACATTTTATTCGCGTAATAAAACATTCACACAATGAAGATTCTACTCTATATCAAACGCCACGAATCCACCAATCCAATTTCTCGTTCTCGTCCAATCAGCATCAGGGATTCCATTATGAAACTAGATCGAAACAAGATGGCGGGAAGGGGACAGTTTTTGAGCAAAAAATGTGGATTCGAAGCAAATACCTAATCTGAAACGAAAAGTTTTCGCGAGAATTTGGCCTCGGTTCGCCGGAAGTTTCCTTGGCTTAGCAAAAACTCTCCTACGATTTTTCGGCTCTAAGAGGAGCGGGCCGAATATTTCTGGTGACGTTTGGCCGCGTCTAACCCCCAAACTTTTCCACTTTTAACACCGGATACGCTTTCTAAATCGATTGCTCGAATATGCAGCTGGATGGGTTTCCGCAGATCGAACTTTCTTCTACCGGATGTTTTCCAAGATTCGTTGAATTGTGCAAGATTCGAACAGTTGGAGTTTTTTTTTTTTTTTAGCTCTTCAGTGACTGTGAATTTTTGTGAAAATGGTTAAATTGCATTGGATTTATTCGGTTCGAGTAATTGGGATTAGTTAACAATTGTGGATGGTAAGTTAATTTAAATTAGAAATATTATTGTAATTTATTGGAATTTTATTCTTTGTATCTTTAAAGAATGTATTTTTTATCATCATTTATATTATATTTCAGGGAAAAGAGTGGAAAATTGGATGAAACTTAAAAGGAAGTGACTCTTATCTCGTTTATTATCTTCGTGAATTCTGATTTTAATAATCAGATTAAAAAGAAAGTGGCATAAAGAATAAATACGACATATTTTTTATACATTTTAATAGTTCTTTATGAAAATGACAGTATAAAGGGCTGAATTTTAAAAAGCAAGTATAAAATAGGTAAGTATATCAAATTTTAATACTTAGTTTTAAGTAAAATGTTGAAAAAATGTTTTTTCGGATGTATGGCGCTTAAAGAGGTAAGTATGTAAAAGGTAAGTATGTAAAAAGGTAAGTACGAAAGGTAAGTATATTAGATTGTAAAAAAAAAATTTTAAATTTCGCGCAAATCATTTTTAAAAATCGAAATTCGAAAAATTTCAGCAATTCTTGGAAATGACGTCAAATTCTTAGAAATTTCGAAATTCTTGGAAATGACGTCAAATTCCTGGAAAAGGTTGAAGAAAAAAAATTTTTGTCGAAAACTCGACTTTGTATTAGGAGAACATAACTTGATAGGAGGTCGATCGAAGAATTTTTCCCAGAATTTCGGCACTTCTTGGAAGTGACGTCAAATTCTTGGAATTTTTCGGCACTTCTTGGAAATGACGTCAAATTCTTAGAATTATCGAAATTCTTGGACGAGCAAAATTTTTGGCCAATTTTTGCACTTTGTATTAGGAGAACATGAGTTGATAGGAGGTCGTTCGAAAAATTTTTCCTAGAATTTCGACATTTCTTGGAAGTGACGTTATTCTTAGAACTTTTGAAATTCTTAGAATTTTCGAAGTTCTTAGAATTATATCAAAAGAGCGAACAGCCAGGATTTGCATTAAAGCATATTTTTTAATTTTTACGTTTTTCACGTTATTATTATAAAAATTTACTTACCTGATATACTTACCTTCTTTATACTTACCTTTTTTTTTATAATTACTCCTTTAAAATGTTACATTTGCAGTAACAAATTCATTTTTTTTATCATTTTACTTAATTCTAATTATGAAATTTATTATACTTACCTATTTTGTACTTACCTTTTTTATATTCAATTTTTTAACCTGTTATTCTTCAGGAATTGCTGTAGAAAAAACAAAATGTATTAGAAATTTATATATAATTGTAATTTGTATCATATATGAAAATACAGAAAATATATATAAAATGCACATATCTATTTATTGAATTTTAACTAAAAAATTGCCTATCTTTGAACTGCTATAACTTTGAAAGAAATGTTGTACAAAAATTCAACCAGGGCTTATTTTAAAGCCTGAAACATTTATTTTCATATGCCTGAATTAAATTTTTCCTTATAAATTTATTATATCAAAAAATAGAATAAAAAAGAAAGTTAGATTTTTTTTTCTAAATTTTATAATTTCAGTCGATTCTAACAAACTTAATAAACTTTCTACGAATTTTATTTTGCAATAAGCTTTTGAAGAGAAGTTTCTTCTTTATAATGAGCTCTCAAAAGTTATTATACGATTTTTTTTTTACTCTTCAAGTTCACTTTTCATTCAAGACGTGATACAGCAACGAAAAAAAGTCGTAGGTCAACTTTTAAGGGCTCATTATAAAGTAGAAACTTTACTCTAAAAGATCATTATAAAACTAATTGCGAAAAAAAATTAAATTAATTAACTTTTGTAGAATCGATGAAAGTGTAAAATTATTAAAAAAAAATTATCTTTGTTTTTGCACTTCGTTTTTTAATATAAAAAAAGACTGAGAAAAGATTCAATTAAATACCTGAAAATCAGAAGTTTTCCTCTTTGAAATAAATTAAGAATGATTAGTGTAAGATATTTCATTCTAAAAAGTTACAGCAATTCAAAAATTGTCAATCTTTAAATTGCTATAACTTTGGAAATAAATATCTTATAATAATTAATCAAAGCTCATTTTAAAAAATTAAACCTCTGCTTTCACATATCTTGGTTAAATTTTTCCCAGATATTTGTTTTATATTGAAAAATGAGATGGAAAATTGAAGATTGTCTTTTCTTAAAAATTTCACAAGTTCAATCTACTTTAGAGACTCTAATAAATTTTCCACGCACTTCATTTTTTAACAATGATTTTTTAAAAGGAAATCTTCTTTTTATATTGAGCTCTCAAAAATTATTATACGATTTTTTTTTCATTCTTCAAGTTCACTTTTCATTCAAGATGTGATATAGCATTGAAAAAAAAATCTTATTTTCAACTTTTAAGAATTCATTATAAAGTAGAAGCTTAGCTTTAAAAACTCAGTATAATGCAAATTGTACTATTATTAATCATAGAATCATATGAATTTATAAAATTTTTAAGAAAAGAAACTATTTTCGATTCTCCACTCCATTTTTTAATATAAAAGAATCATCAGAGAAAATTTAATAGAGACGTGTGAAATTACATGCTTTTTTTTTTAAAATAAGCTTTAATTGATTGTCATACCATAATTTTTTCAAAATTACAGCAATTCAAAAATATTCTTATATTCAATTTACATAAATAACTAGTTTTTCAAAAAAATATAATTACTGTACTAAAAATCAACATCTTTATTCAAAATAAATCTCTCAATTTTCTTACCTGAAACAAAATAAAAAAAAGTAATCATTATCTTTAATAAAAATAATTAAAATAGTTAAAAATAATTAAAAATTCTCAGTGAAAAAGCAAAAAAAATGTTTTAAATATCTTATATTCACTTACACGACAAATGATCAATTTTCCAAAGGAAAGATAATCGCGATAAGCTCAATTCATGTGATATCGAGCAAGGATAAGTTAAACTGTGGCAGACGTGATACTTGATAAGCCTTCTTTATTTCTTCTGGCGGGATATTTAAATTGTAAAACACCACAGCTCCGAATTGATTTCGAGACAGGCTGGTTTGATTTAAATGTAAAACAGCTTCCTTCACAAGTAATCATTTTCGAAGGAAAAAGCTTAATCCTGCACGTTTTTCCGAGGGAAGAAATAAAAGTGTATGGAATCGCGCTCGAGATTTTGTTCGAGAAGCGTCCGCTTCATTTCCCGTTGAATTATCCAGGAATAACAATTTTTCCACAGTGAATTTTTGTTCTCGTGCATTTCACGTCCTCGAGGATACCCTTTATCTTCGAATTAAAAGAGTTATGCGATGGAATATTATGATACTTACGTGGACTTCGTGTGGAAAATATTCCACGTAATTTTCATCTTTTCCACTCTTCTTTCTTTATTTCCTTTTTTGTTTTTCTAAAAAAAAAAGTTTCAACAAATTTTAGAATAAAAATTGAGAAAGTTTAAAATAATTAAAGATTTTTTATATACCTTATAATAATCGTAAAAAAAATCTTTAAATAACTATTATATATTGATATTTTTAAACCAAAATATTATTCGTTATTTTTTATTTTTTATTATTATTTGAAGATAATTTATTTTTTTATTTTATCTGAATTATTCAATCTTTATATTCGTTATTTTTATTTTATAAAGTTCAATTACTGTAGCTATATATATATACACATCGATACTAACAATAATTGCATTTCGATTGCTGCCGCTTTTTTTCTTTTTTCTTTTTTTTTTTACATGGCTTTCCACGAAAAATGCAAACAAGTTCTGCGGTATATATCGTTTCTCGTTCGCTGAAAATTCTTCTCATTTCCTTCATTATCTTGGTAACAGGCAACTACTTGAAGATTTATGGCCACTCGAAGATATCGTTGAACCGTGCGTTAATAAATAGAGAGGGATAGAAAAGAGTAAAATTTTCCAGTCGAAACTTGCCCACCAGCCTGTTCGTCCGCTTTAATTTCATCTTTTATTCATCCGTGTCCATCTCGTCCCATCTGGCAATTATTACTATTAATTTCACTCGAAACGATCGTATAGAATGATTTTTAATCGCCTCGTAAATACACGAGAATGTTTGAAAGATTATTTTTCGAAGAGTGTACAGATACAAAAAAAAAATTATGCGATGTAATGCAGATTTTTAGTAAAGTGTTAAATTTTAGCAAATTCATAGGAGAAAATTCTCTATTGATTAATCTTTTGGATTCTACTTTCTTTTTTATGTTAAATTGTTTAAATAGTGAAAAATATTTAATAAAATTATCTGCTTATTCGTCTTCTAATATTAGATTAAATCTGAATATTAAAATTCACTAGAGTGTCTAGGTTAACCGAGTCCATCAATATTATAACTTTTGGAGGTTATGAAAAAAGATTATACGATTAAGATCAAGAATATCGAGAATTTTCATTATTTATTCTTATTAGTTTTTTTGAAATCATATTTTCCTAACCTATTATTTATCTTTACCAATTTGCAAAACTCATTCACGAAAGCATCCAGGAAAAATTTAACATGGATAATTATAATACACGCAATGCGCGGATTATTTATCTCGCTCGTTACGTTAATTAGTTCGATATTGGCCACGAGTGCTGAATTATTCGAATAAAATCCCAAGAGAAGCCGTTGGTATCTATAGAATTCGAGTAGAAAATAAAAAGAGGCAAGGCAATCGATGGTTAAACATCACACAGTCTCTTTTTCTTTTTTAACACTGTCTCTCTATTGGAATCACAGTAGTGCTCGTCACTGGAACGAACGATTTTTATACAAATCTTGGGACAAGAGGCGCGGCACTCACAGAATCCCGCAATTATTTTGTTACTACACAACAACGATGCCAATCGAAACGAATCGTTTCGCTCTCGATCGACCGCAACAATTTCACTCTTCATTTTCGCGACGAGAGTGACGATGCTGTAATCATTTTTATTTTATTTCCATTTCTTCGTTATATTGGATTCAATAATATGTATTGAACGATTATTTATTTATGATCCAATTCTTTACTTATTCATTTATGAAGCGGAATATTGATTATATATTTTATGTGATTTTACTTGATGCATTAATTTATTCACTCACTAGCAAACTTAATCTGTTATGTAAGTGATTTGTTATATCGTCCATTTATTAATCTATTGCTTTATTATATCAATAATTCACTTATTTATTCACTTGTTAATTTAATAACTAGATTATTGATTTAGGTATTTAATAGGTTAACAATATTCACTCACTATCAATTCAATTTCTATTTATCAGATCAATCATTTACCAATTCATTTGTTAGTTTATCCATTCAAGAATTAACTCAACAACTTATTAGTTTTCTCACTTAATAATTAGATCATTGATAGGTTACCAACTCATTCACTTAATCACTCTGTAATTTATCAATTCAAGTCGTTCACTAATTCAACCATTTTATTAACCTCCGACAACAATTATTCATAAAAATTCTCCTTCACTGGTTCACCTATACATAATTATCCACTCGTGCTTAATTACCATATTCTTGAAGCGACTCGTCTTCAATATCAACATCTTACTTTCTCGGTCATTTGCTTACTCATTAGCCCATTTAACCGGTGACTCGGTCGGTAACCCATTGACCGACACACTTCTTCAAACCTTTTCCTCTCTACCAATTTTCCTCGGTGGAATGGAAAAACGCGCTTTCGTCGTACACGGCTCTTTATGTCTGCCGAGTACCTTGCAGTCGTAAAGTCTCCGAACACACCTCGTTAAAACTTGATACTCCAGGCTCTTTAGTTGGCCAACCACCTCGTGTGCACCGTCTTACCCCTGGCGTCTCTATGCATTTCCGTCTTCTTTGCCCCCTCGATGTCACCACTTCCGGTCGCGCCTAGCGATAAAAGGAACCTCTCGCGGCCACCAAAGGCTGGATAGATAAACGCGCGTTTTCAAGTCGTCGGATGTTAAGTACCACCCGGCCTACTCTTTCTCAAACTTTTCTTTTCGCACAATCCGCGCTCTCTTTTTATCTCTGCCGCCTCATTCCACGAGGAATGGAGACGTCTCGATGTCTCGTTTTCAAAGTATTTTTTTATTTGTTGTGATGCAATTCAAAAGAATCGTTGTCTCTTTTTTCTTTTTTTTTTTTTTTAATTTTTAATAACTCGATATTGTTTCTCCTTTTGAAAAATTTAAAAGAAAGATTTTGATATTTTTTCCCCGGGGATATTTTTTCATTTGATTTTATGTTTTGAAAAAAAATTGTTCTTTTTTTTTTTTTTTTGATTTTTTAATTCGATATATCGTTTCCTCTTGTAAAAATTCAAAGGTTCGATATTTTTCATCGAAATATACAATAATGGTCGGTTAACTTTCTGTCCATTTAATTGGATTTATTTTTACCAATTTCTATAACTATGTGCTTGGATAATCGATGGCTGCAATTCTATGATATTTATCCAGGAACATCACTGAAATTAATTTCAAATATCGAGGATTTAAAAATGTAAATGTAAATATATAAATTACTTACTTTATTTATTCATAATAACATTAATAACACTTTTTAATTTACAATTACATCAGAAGAAGAAAGCAGACATCTTGACAAATGTTCCATTTCCCCAAAAGAATCAAAGCGACAGCGAAATCGATTTGTGAAACGAGAAAGAAGAAAACGTCATAATGGATCACAATTATAAATTTAGGACACTGGTGTCCTAAAAAAAAAAAAAAACTCGATATTCACCAACACGATCTATCAAACCAATTTGCCGA